GTATGGCTATCATTATTTCTTAAGATTCTAACGAATTGATAGCAACAGAAGCTTTAGCACAAATTATTTCAACAAAATTATTAAATTTCTTAATGAAATTTTCTATAAATTAAATATCTGACTTTTAGTATCCTTATGTTCCTGGAATCATTCTAAAAGTTCCACAACCACTATCTTATACATTAAGGCTAATATTTTTAATAAAATTTAAATAATCAATCCATACGGTATAAAAATTATATAAATTTAATTTGTAAATTATTAAAAATACTTATTAAAAAAATACTACTTTATGAATTATTTTACCTTTATCTTGAATCAATTTGATATTTAATTTCGTAATATTAAAATAATTTGATATTCAAAAAAACTTAAAAAAAAAGATAAATTAATCATCAAAAAGTAATATATTCTGGAAATTGATTATGATTTAAGGAGATAATAATTATATCTTCTTTAACAACAATCTAATAATCTCAATTACTTATTAACTTAAGCTCTATGTGAATTCTTACATACTTCCATAATTTCAACATTACTTTTCAATATCTATATATAATAAACATTTATAAATCAATGAGATTATGTATAATCGCTTTTATCTTCAAGATGATTTTAACTAAATTAATTAATATCTAGATAAAATACCCCTTAACACTACTTTGCTTTAAATAACTGTATTCTTTAATGAACTTGTTAAACAGTTACATTTTATTGTTATACATATCCAATATCAAATAGTTGTAAAATATTTTACTTTTCACCTCTAATAATGAATTAGAACTCTATAATATTAGATTTATTAACTAAATATATAAAAAGAAGAAAATCAATGATTTTATCTTTGGGTTAACTTATTTATGTATGTTTATGTTGAAACTTACAAAATTATAGTTAATTTATTATTCAATAATGTTCAATTTTTTCAATAACTTTAATAATAAAGCTATATAAATATTTTGTAATCCTTTATTAAAAGAAACTAAATTTATAAACATAATTGAATTTACAATTATTCCATAAATTATTATTGTTTAATTTAGAAATTCAAATTTCTTAATGAATACAATTCTTATATTCTTCAGATAATTTTAATTCCTCATTTTTCTCATCCTTCATCTTCTCATTAAGCTTATTCCTCCTCATCTACTTTCTCTCTTCTTTATAACCTTAGCTGGAATAAGAATTAGCCAAATTCGTATGCTATTGGAGGTAAAGGGAGAGAAGAATGCCTCAAGAAAATACTAGAACAAACTATTGATATTTATTGTTACTTAGAAAAAATCTATTTTTTTAACTTTAACTCTCTTACTCATAATTTCACTTATCTAAATGTATTTTAAAGAATGAACAGACAAATTCAAATTGTTAACCAAATTTTAATTATGCTTAAACAGAGATGATCAACAGGAATGAATTAATCAATCATGGAACTCAAATACTACATAAATAAATATACTATATTAAAAATAAAGATATTCTAAATTATTCAAGAATCAATATATGAAAATGTTTGAAATGATTTCTCTATAGAATAGTCTACCTCTTCTATAATCAATTCAAAATCTCCAAAAAGTCTAAGCTTCTAATTAACAATAATATGCAAGATATTTTATAGATTTTGCAGAATATAACTTAAAGTTAGAGTAATAGAAATTCAATATTAAAAATAAAATAGAAAATACTGGGCTCTTTTTAGAGAAATCAGCTCTAGCAAGAATTAATAAAAATAATATAAGATATAAAAAATATATCAAATATTAATAAAAATTAATAAAATATATACAATATTAATAAAAATGATATGAGATGTATAAAAATTTATAAAAAATTACTTAAAATATCTAAAAAATATTTAAAAATATAAAAAGTTATCTTAAAATTCAAATTTTATAGAACCACGTCGCGAAAAATCGCGTTTTTCCTAGACGCAACTTTCGGGAACCGTGTGCCATAACCCCAACCGAAATGAGTATAAGAGAGCAATATAAAGAACAAATAGATAGTATAAAAAAATTACGTATAAATAAAAAATAAAAAGGGGGATTACCAAACCTTTTCCAGAGTTGGAGTAATTGAGAGAAGAAAAGTATTCTTGGAAATAGTAAACCTGCTATTAGCATTAAGACGACTATTAATCCGAAATGATATTGCTCAATGCATGCTCTTTCCTTACAACTATATAATCATAATTAAAATAATAAACAAGGAGTGTTTCTAAATATTACAATCTCTTAAAGGTTATCTAAAAAATAACAATTATTTAATCTTTAAATTAAGGATTACAAGAAAAATGAATGATATATACTAGAACTCAAATTATGTATAAATTTAAATATTCATATAAAAATAAAGATATTCTATATTATTAATAAATCAAGTGATGCAATGTTGAAATGAATTCTCAATAGCATATATTACCTCTATTATCTATACAAAGTTTGAACTTTTATTTTACAAAAATATACAAGATACTTTTATCGATTTTGCAGTATATAACTTAAACTTTGAGTAATAGAAATTCAATATTTAAAATACAAAGTAAATGCACTGCCCTTTTTAAGAGAAGGTAGCACTAACTGACATCTTTGCTTAAGTTAAAGATGTAGATGAACAAGTATTTGGCGTTATATTAGCAATATTTCGAAAGGAAAAAGTTTAAGACTGCATTGGATATTTTTCAGATAATGGAAATCAAGGGCATTTTAAATAATAAATCTTACAAGGAGTGAATTTAAAACAAGTTGAGAATGAATAGAAATTGTCTGATTTTAGAAATAACACGATACAAATTACTGATGTTTTAAAAAAGTTAAAAGATCATGACTTCAATAGCAAAGACTATTCTAGTGAAGAATATCAAGATTCTAAATTAAGTCTAATTAAAAACATAAAGGATAATATATAGATCACAGAATTTTTGAAATTTTTAGTTCACCTCACATCTATAGATAAAACTTTAATATAATGTGGGTCTAATTCATTAAATATATTAGTTTAGATGAAGTTGGACCTTAGAAACAAAAATTTTGAAAATATTAAGATCTAAAATACTTCTTTGGTAGGAGCAAATTTTGCTCAATGTAATTTAAGTGGATCTGAGTTTAATAATGTTAACATAGTTGGGGTGAATTTGAATGGAGCAATATTATTTAATTGTAAATGGATCAACTTGATAATCAATAAATAAAACAAATTAGATGGTCATACTAAGTCAATCAACTCAGTCTGTCTTTCTCCTGATGGAATTACATTAGCTTCTGGTAGTAATGATAAGTCTATCCGCCTATGGGATGTCAAAACAGGATGATAAAAAGCCAAATTAGATGGTCATACTCATTATGTTATGTCAGTCTGTTTCTCTCCTGATGGAAGTACATTAGCTTCTGGTAGTTAAGATAACTCTATCCGTCTATGGGAAATCAAAAACAAGAATTGTTCAGATTATAGATTAAAAGAAATTTAGGTGAAAAATACAAGATATATTTTTTTTAACACCCCTTTGCAGTAAAAGAATATTATTTAAAATTTAGATACATCTTATAATATAGTTTACCCAAACTTCAATTTTTAATTTTTTAAGGTTTAAGAGAGTTTTTTACAAACAAGCGTTTCCTTTAGAAGAATTATTTGAGTAACACTTGATTAATTTAAAAACTAACCTATATTAACCCTTAATTTAAATCTATTTTAATATACTTCTTGTGTCCAATATTTTTTGATAGAGTTCTATTTTATAGATTTTTTTTTTTTA